CCACCCTCGTGCAGGTCCTTCAGTGCCTTGGCCTGATGAACCTGCAGTAACACCATAGTGTGTAAGGCGGAGGCAGCTTCTCCACAGGCCACATAAGCATCGCTGGACAGACCAGACGAGTACCTACAGACCCCAGAGGGAAGGCACGGTTCGCCCTGCCGGGTGGAGGCGGTATCAGGACACAACTAAAAAGACGCACCTGTGAATGCTCCTTTAGGGAAAAAGCTCTTTTAGCGTGATGGCCGCCTGCAACACAAACAGGGGGTAGTGCTGCCTGATGTGTGCAACCCACTCGACACAGGAAACCACCACCGCTGAAGCGCCGTACCGCCAACACGAAGAGCTCTCAAAGAGCGTGCTGAACTCGTTCAGTCTTCTTCTCTCAGTAGAGTAGTCAGGAGCAGAACGATGTGATCGCTCGGCTCCGAAGCGAAAAGCTGAATATGCGCTGCACCAGCTGCCTACTTATACTCACGCTGTGATCAGCGGCAGCTGGATGCAATAATCGCATGCCAATGTGCATTGGCTCATTTAGTTTACACTCTAAGTAGATTGGTCTCTCTAAGCGAGATCCCAATTCGCCGGTCACTGACGTGACGTCGAGAGTGACCAACTGAAAGGGAATCAAGGTTTTGCTGGTTAGCGTGAGATTGTTCACCCCTGCTGGCAGAAGTTGAAACTACACCTTTCTGCTGCCAAAAAGCATTTCTTTATTGAAGACTTTTCAAGTGCAACTGGCTATTCCATTATAGTTAACTATAATGTAACTAAAACCATTAGCTTCAGAAACCCTCCACCTTCCCCAGCTCCACCTGTATAGATCTGCTGCCGGTTAATTTCATGTATGTTATATATTGGGGTAAATATCAATGTATCAATGGATTAATATCAAAATATCAATGAAAACCATAATATTACCTCAATCATACTAAAATACATTGGTCTTTTCTAACTTAAAATACACTGGTCTTTTTTTTTTAAATAGACATTGGGATTTATTGGTGGTTGATTTTTTGGAGGTCTCTTGAAATAAATTGGACTAATATTCTTTCCTGTCCGCTACCTTTGATGTCACTGTTAGACATCAGGATGATTAGTAGTGAAGGGTTTGGGACTGTGAGAGTTCTTTTGCTGCCATCATTCAATTAGCATTTTCATTGCGCTATTGTGCTACGATTTCAGAGTGATTAGTCACATGACATGTACAGCTCAGGTAAGTGGCTCAAATCTATGCCAAGAAATGAGCAAAGATTGCAGCAGGTTGCATATTTCTCCCTGACCTGTGTGAATGTAAAAATGTGAACTAAAGGAATAGTTCACCTAAAAATGAAAATTCTGTCATCATTTACTCACCCTCATGCCGTTTCAAACCTGTATGACTTTCTGTCTTCTGTGGAGTACAAAAGAAGATCTTTTGAAGAATGGTACTCTTTCCTTTTATCTTCTGTGTTCTTCTAACTCTTCTATTCATGTTTCCATGCTCTATGAATGCAGTCTCTCTCTCCGAGCGGTTCCCCTCCTGAGATGCTGAGTGGTACATTCCTATCTACTACTCTCTGCTGCTCTGCCTCTCGGTCCACCAGACAGCCGAGTGCTCGCTGCACGCTGCACTGCTCCACAGCATCACTGGCCGTGTGTGTGTCTCTAACCCTCCAGTGCTGCTTGTCTAGATGTTCAGGATGTGTGGTGGGTGGCCTGTGCTGTAAACGAACAACAACACTCCGGTACTCCCACTGCAAGACTCCTGGTCAGACTCGGCAGCGGCTTTGGGATGTCTTCCCCAGGATCTGCCAGCGGCAGCAAGAGGAATTCTTGTAAGTAGCATCTCTCTTTCTTTTACTGCTGATGCCTGAAGTATCTTCTGACCTGCAGTGCTTCAGTGACTCCGCATGGGTTGTTTACAGATGTGCATGCTGGAACAGAGCAGCTGTTGATCAGGATTTCAGATAACAGTTGTTTACTGGACCCAAATGGAGGTTGGAAATTGTGGGTGGAGTGATATAATGTCTCATTATTTTGGATGTTTGTTAATCACTCAATGGCTTTGTAATAATATGAACGAAAGAAAGTGAGACACAGATTTTTCCTGTACTCAGCAATGTGTTTTTAGCTCTAAATCAGAGGTTCTTTGCAATTGTTTTTGCTTCCGGATCCAGATTTTACACTGGACTTCAAGTGGCGAGCCATCATTAATATTTAATTTTTATTTTACCTTTATTTAACCAGGAAGTCTCATTGAGATTAAAATCTCTTTTACAAGAGAGACCTGGCCAAGGTAGCAACCATACAGTAAGACAATATTTTAAAATACAACAAATACACATTAAAACAATATTTAAACATAATATCCTCTCAACAAAAACAATCACAAGCCTCCATTACCAATCTCCTTATGATGCTTTTAAATTCACCAATAGACACAAATTTATCAAGTTTTAGATCATTTTGCAAATTATTCCATGCCCAGGGTGCATAATACGAAAATGCAGTTTTCCCCAGTTCTGTACAAACTCGAGGTACGTTAAAAAGCAAACACTTGGAAGAGCGTAGCTGGTAACTGCCCGAACGAAGACAAAGAAGGGTACAGAGATAAGCTGGAAGTTTACCTAACATTGCTTTATAGATAAAAATGTACCAGTTTTCTGTTTTCTGCGTATGGTTAGTGATGTCCAACCCACCATATCATATAGAATGCAATGATGAGTAAGGGATTTTGCATTTGTAATAAAATGTAATGAAGCATGGTACACTGAATCAAGGCTCGTTAAGATGGAGGAGGCTGCATGCATGTATACTATATCACCATAATCAAGCACAGTTAGGAAGGTGGCTTCTACAAGTTTCTTTTTGACATTAAAAGTAAAATTATATTTATTTCTAAAATAAAAACCAAGCTTCACTTTGAGCTTCCTGATTAGATTGATTATATGTACATTGAATAAAAGCTTATCATCAATCAAAATGCCTAAATACTTGTAAGAAGACTTGTTCAATAATTTTACCATCAAATGTAAAAATACTAAGATTATCAAGTACTTGTGACTGAGCTTTTGACAAAGCCATAAACTTTGTTTTCTGAGAATTTAAAACTAATTTTAAGCTCACCAGAGCACCTTCCAATGACTGAAAAGCAGTCTGAAGCTCTTTCACCGCCTGTGTTATAGATGGAGCAAGTGTAGAAATAATAGTACCATCAGCATAAAAGTGTTTTTTTGCTTGAATATCCTTACCTAAATCATTTATATAAATAGAAAACAAATAGGTCCCAAAATGGAACCCTGGGGAACCCCTTTAGATATATCAAGAAAATCTGATCTAAATATATATATAAATATAATATAAATATAGTTTACCATGCAAAAATAAACAAATGTGTCCTTAAAATCAAACGATGAAATGTATTCACATTACCATGATCTGAAATATGCCAAATTATTGTATGCATATTATTGCACGTCTGAAATTTAGATGTTTTCACGCTCCTGGCAGCCAATAATTCATTGCCCAAAACACTGTAGTTGGCAAAAACTGTGTTAATCTTCTTTTAAGTAAGGGAATGTCATGAAACCTCTCATTATTGTCATCTGCCCAATTTGGCTACCTTCTACCAAATTAAGATGAATTTGCATCAAAATACAACAGAATTTGATTGGACGCACAACCTTTGGCACCACCAAAGGTGTTGCTTACTCCTTTGTCGTCAACAATGATGGGAAGTATTTTGTCCATCTTTTAAATGTCGATTAGCCTATTTATTTTAGTTATGACAACAATGTATGATTATATGATTGCATTTCTTTATTACCATTTAGCATTGTTTGTATTTTTTACCAGTTGAGAAGCGCTGCTCTAAAGCACTGTCGCTAGAGTCTCCAAGTCGCAGCTTTCTAGCTTTGTCCAGTGCTATTTTTTACAAGAAAAAGATTTGTGAATATTTCATTGCGTGTGAAGATGTTTGTGCGGTGGCGAGTGGAATAATAGCAGCATGTATGAGTCAGTGTGAAAGCTGTGTGAGGGAGAATCCTCAGGGGACGAACTTGAGTACTGAGTATTGATGAAACGCAGAGACACTGTGATATCGCACACACATACATAAAAAAAAACCTTACATCTCTATTTGCCTTTTTTCCACTGCCTTTGGGTATGTTTGGCTTTCATGTTGATTAGTAGTGCAGGAGAGCTCTCTAAGTCTCGTTATTATGACGACCCCGCCCATCCCCCCATCCATCTCTCCTCCTCAAGATGTGATTTACAGTCAAGGCTCTCTCAGACCCTGGAAACCTCATCTTTAATTACTCAAACCCACTGCTCTCAACGACCCTCAAACCACTTTGGTTTCCAGTCAGCATCAGAGGTGATTGTTATTTGATCTCTTCAGTGTTTGGACACAAAGTAGTTTAGCTAAAGCAAGTGTTAATCCATTCATTTGGATCTTAAAGACATAGTTAACCAAAAAATACAAATTCAGCCATTTACTCAGCATCGTGTTACTTCAGACATGTATGATTTTCTTTTTAACAACCTCGTATTTCACAGTAGATCTGTCTTTAACGGTTTATACATTGTTGGTAAAAATCAATTGCCCATGACGAAAATGAATGGGATTTTTATTTCCATTTGATGTCATTGACATCAAATCTGCTACACAACACATCTTGATGCATCATGTTTGAATGTATGGAACCAAGGGAATAGACGAAGAGCTGAATGAAGATGAATAATATGAAGAATGAAGATTTACATAGAATACTGATTTAAATTTGGTCTGTTCATCACATAAAATATTGTATAGCTTCAGAAGAATTGGAATATAGCACATGTCATACTGATAACTTTTATGGTGCTCTTTTGGTCCTTTCGGAAGCTTGATAGCCCCAGTCCTCATTCACTTTTATTGTACGAAAAACAGCAGTTTGGACATTCTGCTAAACTTCTCCTTTTATTTTACACTGAAGAAAGTAAGTCATACAGGTTGGAACAACATTAGGGTGGGTAAATAATGACAAAATCTAAATTCAGAGGTAATTGTTTCCTAAGTGAGAACTACTGTTGAACAGTCTTCGGTTGGATTTACACACAGCAGTTTTTGCTGACAGCTAAAGCCAGCCAGTCAGTGAGATAACAGAGGTGCTGATTAAAGACTATTGAGTAGTATTCAACAGAGAGCAAGGCTCTAATCTCACTGTCTTCTCGTTTGTCTCTTCACTGCTTCATTTGACTTTATGCGTGCCGGGGTTACTTGCTTTTACATTAAATATTAACATTGTTTAAATTAGCATGCAACAGAAATGATTAGTGTCTTTGTATCAAGTTAATTTGTTAGTGTGCTGGTTGCTCTGTGTTCAAAAACTGCAATTATTTCATAAGGATGACATGGATTGGATTTGGAGGCGTGTGTGTGTGTGTGTTCTTTGAGGTTGAACAAAAGCAGTGAGGTAAAAGCTTGTTTACAGACATGTTTTTGACAGAAAGATGAAAAGTCCAGGTCAAAGTGTCAAAGTTTTCCTTCATAAACAATATATATATATATGTGATTGTCATGTTTACTATGACTTTTTGACTGTAATGTGACTGAATAAATAGAGAACTTGCACATCTATGGCCCTTATATCTTTATTGAGCACAAATACCGTCTCTGGCCTAGTATATAATTTTATGAGTCACACACTTTGTTCAGTGTTTTGTATGTCTTGATTGACTCTAGATCACTAAGGTCGCAGAGCAGATCTGACTCACATTATTCATCGGTGGGTTGCCAGATCCTCTCAGATTATTATGCCGCTACGGTTATAATCAACAAATCTGTCTATGTTGCATATGTGCAACACAACACAACAAAACCAGAACACTCAATATAATAAACAAACCTGTCTTGGAAATTTTGCAATGTTTCAAAATGCTAACTACAATAGCATTTAGTATATTGTAACCTAGCATAACTAAACTAGCATAGCAGTGTAATGCATCACTATGAACTACCTACTATTACACGTTATGCACAGATACACATTTTAAACAGCAGAATGCTACATTTGTCACATGACCTTATCTTGTTGCATGTTTAATTCAGTAAATGACATCCAGTTATTTTCTCAGAAAAAAATGTTTTTTTTTGCCTTTTTAAACCAAATTTTGTGGAAAAATGTCTTAATGCTGCAATCTAATGATAATAAAGTCAAACATTGTCAAATAATAACAATCAAATAACGAGTCAAGAAGGATGTGATAAATATAATATCATTGGTTCATTCATAACACTGAAACCAGACTGCAGCAGTCAGTTTCTGAGATAAAAATAAATAAAATCCCATTCATTTTCTTCATAGGGGGAATTGATTTATTTTTTTTACAATAACTGTTAAAGACATACCTACTGTGACCTCCAATGCTGTTAATCGATAGTATATGCTTTTGTTGAAGCCATCAGCCTGCATTATTTCAACAGATTTTTAAAATAATCGTGTTTAACAGCAGAGTTACCAGTGAAACCACATTACCCATGATTCTGCAGAGAATCTCCACCAATCAGAGAACTGAAACAAGTAAATCGCACAAAAATAACTCTTTAGCCTGTCCATGAAGCACTACAAATGTTATAAAGGAGTCTTCATATACTCTCAAACTACGTGTGTTTCTGCATGTTTTAGAATAAACATCAAATCTATTTTTCTATATGCATATTAGCTCTCCTTATTAGCTCTCAAGTTAATTGTTCTTTACATTTAAACAAGTTAATTGTTTACATTTACATTTAATTGTTGTTTAAGTTGTCCTTGTTCTTTACATGAAGGGAGGTTAAATTTTAAACTTTACA